GTCCATTATAACATCTGAGTTGATGTGCATTTATTATTGTGTTTGGATGAGTTAATTCTTCGTCCGTTGGTGACAAAACTTTATCAGGGTCCCTTTTGCTTCGTGTTAAGTAGTCCTACTCGACAGAGCTGATTTTACTTTCCCCGAAAGACGGTGGTCAGAAGTGCCACCACGAGTTCTTTAGGATTCAAAGCTCACGATGTAATTTCTGTTTGTTTGTTTTTTAATAAACAGCCTATTCTCAAATATGCGTTTAATGGAGAAACTGTTTGGATTATTATCAATCCACACTTGAGGCTGTTCATATCTTTATCCAACTACGTCCAGACAATTTTCAAGATGAATCTTCTTCTACAATTAACCATATAACTGTATCGATGAAACACTTCAAATTGGCGTCAAGAGTCAGATTAACACAACAATAGGACATAGACCTAATCAATTTGTACCCACGTTCGGGACTTCGATGCGTCGATTTGATCTCCCATTTACTTTTCCTTTTATAAAAAGTGTTTATAACCGCCAACTAAATCGTCTGTTAGTAAAGGTCAAGCAACTATAGATAGGTGCCATTACTCCCACGGATGTCATGCGTTCCCAAGGCATAGTTGTAGAAGGCATGGCACACATTTGCATGTTCCTTCCTTGAATCATTGGGAAAGGGAGTTGAGGAATAATGAAGCTTTAATGAGAACTTAGTAAGCCTATATCACTTAAGGTGGTTTAGAGAATGGTAATTGAGCCTTCCACAATTAGGTGCCATTTAAGTTCACTCAGATCTGCCTCCCTAAAGCTATTTCGATCATAGGTGGCTTTCAGTGTCGATCTCGTCTGGGTCACACCAGCACTCCCAGCGGGATTCGATACTGTATCGTGAATATCATGGCGAAGTTACCACTCCCATAAACAGCCACGAGTGTTCAAATTCACAAGACAAATGTAACATTTAAGGCAAATCAGGCCTCATTCAAATCACATTTATAGTGGGATTGTCGATTAAGCAAGCATGTGTTCACCTTTATAATCGACAATCTTACTTACTTTCGATATAAGTAGTTTCCAAGTTTTTAATTAGCAATAGCCCAGAAAATCACTTATGCCGAAAATGATAAAAAAGCTTCTCTGAATATTTTTGACATTAGCCATTTTATTTCGTAACTAATAGAAAACTGAATTTTGTCAGGATGTGTCAGATTCAATTAGCCTTTTAGTGGACGAGTGAGCCAACGATAAAGAGAAGAGAAGTCTTGTATTTTTGTATTGTATTTCACTTTATCATGCATCCCGAAGGGAAGTTCCCACAAAGACTAGAGTCTGCGGTTTCGGCATAACTCCTCCTCTCACCAGCCCCGCAGTAGGATTGTAACCGTGGGTGTGTAGGGCCATATGCAAGCATTCTACCCTCCAGGCCATGCGATCCTAGCTAAATAATGGCATGACGAGTATGACATTCATTGCAAAACATTCCTCTCTCAAATACATCAGTTCGTGGTAAATTTTGTGATGATAGGCGGCCATTCTTGCCTTAAACCTCAATAGGTAGCTAATTTTATCCTTCCCATAGTTAATCAACTACTATGGCGAAGTAAAATTGACTGTAAAAATTAAGCCCTATTCTTTTTATTATGGAGTGAGTCGCTATCAGTACAATACAGCATCCGTCCAAATTGGTGCCTCTCTAAAACGATTGTGCTACTGCTAACTGCCGCTAACGCCATAATCAGTAGCTTGTCGAGTTTAAGGACCAACGCCATGTTGCCCATGGATGCAACATTCCCTAAAAAAGGATGTAAATTGGATGCGGGGTTTGCGCATTGTACGATTAACTGTGACAAAGATAGTGTGGTATGCGGGTTACAGCTTTTCGCTTAGTCTCCAGTGGGTTTCATCTGTATCAGGACCTGCCGGGGATTGATGAAAACTGGCTGATTATCTCCAAGTCTAGGAGACTTGTCTCCGCGGAAAATTTGTCTCCTGCTTGAATTTCAAGGGTTCATTATCCTAATGGCTCTTCTCCTGCAAGGCCGTATTTTAATTACAATTTATCTTTAGATCCTTGTTTGAGAGGGACTAGGCATTGCCAGCACACCTTTTGTTGGCTCCCTCCCATAAAGGGAAATAAGCAGACGTGTGCTTTGTCTGTTTTCTTTCTTATGGGACTCAGATTGTCTAAGTTCCTGAGCCGAAATCGGCCTTTAGACAATTTATTTTATACACTTGACTAGCTTTGCTACCATTTTCCACGCCCTATCAAAAGAAGGAACAGAAATTGGTTGTCTCTTTGCGGAAGCAAAAGTCTCCCTTCATAATTTGGCAGCATCGTTTTCAAAAGTAGTATTGGGTATGATTTCAAAGTCTATCTGCCCCAAGCCAGTCAAGTTACCCCATACACTACTGCCACATTCCTAAAGAGGTTTTTTGAGAGGATAAATTGATCCTCTTAACGAAATCATACTTATAAGTGAAGAAATGTTATGATCATATGGATATCTTAATCTATAATTGCTGAACTCATTTCCATTTCGGAAGAAAATATGTGATAAAGAGATTCAAACATCAATCTGATCAAAAAGAGACGTCGAATTTCCTGTTGGTTGGCTTTTATTTGGTCTTAGTGGAGCATACATTCTGGAGCTGGTTTCATACATCTATGCACACAAGAAGGCACATAATTGCAGACAAGCAGACAAACGCACATGCTTTAGGATTTAAATATAACTTAAACTAACTAAATAACTTCATAAATTGTTAAAATGATCAGATTTAGGGTATATATACATCATATGAGATATATTCATCTTGTTTCGATTAGGGTGATAAGGGAACTTATAGTTAAATTTTTCCACGATTATATGAATAGGAATTGTGATTCCATTAAATTTAACACAGCCTTGTTTTCCAAAAAAATATTCTCGTCCACGGTGGACGACAGTTTTGATATCGCCTAGGTCTTATCAACACACTCAGCAGGACTCGAACCACAACCGTACAGCGTATGCTTTCGACACGGTAACCACTACGGTCACAGGGCAGATGTGAATTTCAAGGAAGGTCAGTCATTTTCTTATTCCACATTCTGTAGTTGGATTGTCGATGAAGCAAAGTTGTATTTGCTGTAGCAATAGTCTATGTTACATATTTTTCATTTATAAGTAGGCTTTTGAGACTACCAGAGATTTAGTCCACTTACTAATTAAAATAAGCAATCTAGTCGAGTTTACTAGCAGACACAACTTTGTTTCATCGGAAATCCCACCACAGAAAGTGATATGGGATAGGCCTCGCGTTACTTGAAGAGCATCTCTTCTCTGTTATCAAACGGCACTCGTGGTAGCTAACGTGTAGAGATTATACACTGAACTGTTATGGTTCGAATCCCACCTGGGTGTTTATAAGACCTAGACAAGGTCGAGACTGCAGCCCATCTTAGATGGGAATATCTTTTGTGAAAGCAAGGCTGTATGAAATTCGATGGAAACGTCATGTCCACTCATACTATCGTTGTAAAAATCAACTATCAGTCTTCGTATCAGCCTAAACGAAAAAGGAAGAATATTTCTCATATATATGATCTACTGGTAGCCTCGACGGCCTATTTGTAAACAAAAATACATCTACTGCATTTAGGGATAAGTTACGAAGGTTTCCAGACTCGTTAGCTTGAATGCAGTTGTAAGAATGCTACCCTGCACTGAGATGTCCTTCATACGATGTACAAAAGCCTAGATTGATGCTACCAAAACTGAAGGAGATTGTCATGATGATAGTGTCACTCGGAATGTTCCAGTAAAGCCAGCCGGCAGTGGGCTAAAAGGAATCGTCGTAGCCTTTTGTTGGGATCAACCCTCGAATCTCTTCATCACACACTTTCATTTGAAATGGAATTGAGCTCACCAAGTCATGCTTCCTACCGCACTTTTTTAACATGCATGCCGAAATAAAATTCTTTTGTAAGTCATGTTTATAACTTCTCGGAAATGAAAATTTTTTATTTTCATTTTGAAGGGTTTTAGGAAAGAAATCCTACTAATGCTCTGCCGGCCTTCAAACGGTCTTTTCTGTCATCGCAAGTATTCTCAACTTCAGAGTAAGATCAAGGCGGCGGAAGAGAAATTGTTTTGGTAGGTATAAGCATAGTTACCTCCAAACCTAATTTCACAATGTGTTGGGACCTAACGTCCATGTGGTTACCATTTCGCCTATTGCCTAGTTCACCACCATGACAATCAATTTCGACATGGTCTCGGCTTTCTCACTTCAGGCAGACATTTGCACCGGTAGGCCTTCTTGCCGGAACTCTCCTTCCCTTGCGCCTCACTTTGCTTCTCATGCATGAGCCAACACACATGTTCCCTTTCTTTACCCTCTGACTGCTTCATTCAATCGTACAAGTTCGCCTGGTTGTCATGCCCAACGCCTGCAACCATGATAGATGAGGTGATGGCTATTGCATGTACAGCCACCTGTGCTCCTCGCAACAAGTCAGATCCAAACACACTCTGTCACTGTCGGCTCCCTTCATGACTTTGACCTCTAACCGGTAATGCCAACTCCCACAATATTGGCATAACTACCCTCACGCCTACCATCACCAACACTGACAGTAACAACAACAACCCTCAATACCACTAGCCCTACTACCACTTGCGGTCTTGCGGTCTTGTGGCCTGAGCATCAATTTATTGTCTGAATTATGCCCTTTTTGCTTCTGTAAGCGACTCATAACAGAATAAAATGAGAAATTTGGTACGGAAGACTGAGAAGGCAATGAGGAGAGAGAGTCAGCCAGTAGGTGGGTGGACAGGAGCGACGAGATAGGGGCTAGGGCTACAGCATATGTCAAATTGTCAAGTATTCGGGCCTCTGCTGATCTACCTTCTCTTTTAGCAACACATAATGGAGCCAACTCGCAGGCTATGCACATTTCTCGGTCTGACCGCTGCTTCAAGACAGCCTCACCTTCTGTCTGTTAGGCAGATGGTGAAATGGGGTAGGCATAAATGGACGTCCTAGCACCATCGTGCGTGCACGCAAAGCATTACGCGAAGATGAATCTGTCCAGAATAGAGAGTCGGCCAGGACTGACAAGCTGTGTCTCGGCTAGTCTGATGCGGCTACTGTTCTCTCCCTATACGAGTCCCGTTGCCCAGGTTGTCCTGACAGCCAGAGCCAGTCTGACAAAATTGGATGCCCACCACCTTCATTCTGGCACGTCAGCCAGCCAGCCTGCAAGGCTTTGCCGGCTTTTTCCGCTCCACTTGGACGGCGGCCTTTCCTCTGACGAGGGCGCGAACCCATGCCTTCGATGGGGTTAACTAGAAAGCATCCAGACCTCGAGACTGAAACTTCTTGGTAAAAAACAGGGGCAAGTTGAACTGAAAGTAGGGAAACGGAGAAAGCATATGAATATGTGTGCAATTGTTTAATGTAGGTATGGGTTCATCTATTATGCATTTATTATGTATGCATCCAATTAGGTATTTATTTATGCATTTTATGTATTTTAGTGTATTTTACTTTTTATAATTATATTTATGTATGTATGTACATATCTACATATACTTTCTAATAACATAAATACACGTACAAATAGTAATATGCTTATATAGATAGATATATGGGTAGGTAAAATAAATATTCACATAATCACATTTACCTGCAAATGTACACTCATATATATATATATATTTACTTACTTATTTACTGGTAGCTTTACGCGTACGTATATATATATATATATATGTTTATATACTTTAAACATTATTTTAATATTCATACAATCATATATACTTATATATATATATATATATATACACATAAATATGTAAGAAAAATGTATCGCACTGAATATCTAATAATGTCCAAGATTTACGCAAGTAAACTCTGCTTTAATGTCGTCTATCAAGCAATTATAGCCACATGAAATAGTTGCTTATTTCTGGCTAAGTTTTGATAAGGATTCGCAACTGAACTACATTCATAAAGATATGAAAATGAAGATGGCCTTTGGCATGAACGCAGCCTGCTTAGGATGTATAGAAG